GAAAAAAGATGGTTTCATTCAATTTCGATAATGGTGATTACAGTAGTAATAATAATTACTATTACACAACAGTATTGGTGATGACTGCAATGAAATAAATAATTTCAATAAGACTAGTGATGATGAGGACGATGATGATGAAGACGATAAAGATGGTGATGATGTCGACGATAATGATGATGCTGATTGTAGTAAACATGAGATATGTTATGATTGACAATTGGCAAATTAAAAACCATTCTTTACATTTTTTCAACAACACCAACAGGAAAAATAATAACAACATGACAACAACAACGACAACATCAAATCAACAACAACAATAACAAAAGAAAAATCAACAACATCAATAACAACAACCCCATCAACACATTAACAACCCAAACAACAAAATCATTTTTAGAGGAACAATATCAGCGTAACTTACTGAATCAACGAAATTGCTTAAATATCAATAACAACAAAAATCAATAAGCAGCAACAACAACATCTTTAGTAGGGTAACATTACAAAGTACACACACGACGTGTTGTACTACAGTACTACCATTATAGTTCTAGTAAAGTATCGGCAGCAAATAGAAAAGCATGTATGACCCGAGATTTCTTCTCCCAGCGCCAGACTTTTGATCTTAGCTTCATTTAGATGTCATTTTGTTTATTTATATTTTTGTTTCTGTTTTTTCATTTTGGTTTTCCATTTTGTTTTGTTTTGTTTTTCCATTTTGTTTTGTTTGTTTCCATTTTTGTTCTGCTTCCATTTTGTTTATGGTCTGTTTCATTCTTTGCCCGAATATAAATTATTTTGTATCTTTTCCTACTTGTGGTTATTGTTCAATTACTAATGCAAGTAAATCATTGCCTGTGACTAAATTGTTTTGAATTTTCATATGATGGCAAATAAAAAAATTTTACTTGTATTTTTGATGTTAATTTTTGTATCGTTGCATGCTGTTGTTATTGCTAATATTTTACTTACAGCAGTCTTCCGCGTTAAATTTAAAAAGAAATAACAGTTATTAGCAAACATTTTTATTAAGATGATGTTTGATTTAGAAGATGAGTTGTTGTTTATATCTTTCAAATGTCGAGATTTTTCATTTTTTACTGAATAACTCAAAAGTGTAAATAAAAGAAATAATTTTACAAATTCTAATCACTTTTTCTTCTTTTTGTTATTATTATTATAATTACTAAAATTATTATTATTATTATTATTTTTACTATTATTTATTCTACAAATGAAAAAACTAGTTCTTGATAAAATTTTCTTCGAGTTCTTGTCGCGAAATTATCATGGCCGGTCTATTGACACGTAGTTTGATTTATCACACTTCTCATCCGTCTTATTGATTCATTGCTTGCAACCAGCAACCTACAACCAACAAATAACAACCCACAGCCACCAACCTACAGACAACCTGCAACCAACTGCCAGCAACCAGCGACCAAAACCATCAACCAACAACCTATAACAACAACACCAGCAACCAATAGCCAAAAATGTATAGCATTAGCAACTGTTGCAGCAACTGTTGCAGCAGCCAATAACTAAAAAACCGTCAAATCATTGTGTAGTTGATAATATATTTTGTTTGAGGTGTGGTTGTTGTTGTTGTTGTTATCACCATGGAGTTTACTATTAATTTGGTGGTGCTATATATTAGCAGTAATAATAGTAGTATACATAGTAGAAGTATCAGTCGTAGCAGCAGTTATAGTCTGTAGAAGTAGAAATAGAATTAATTCTCAAAAAATTGTATAGTAATTTTAATAATAGTGGTACCACTACTACTACTACTATGTATACTACTATTACTACTACTACTACTACTAATTCTACTACTATTAGTAATTGTGGTAGTAGTGGTAGTAGTAGTAGCAGCAGCAGCAGCAGTAGTAGTAGTAGTAGCAGTAACGACTGCAATAATAATAATGGCAATAGCTTTAGTGCGGTAATTAAAATTACAGAAATGGAGACGAACTGGATATCTGCATTGGATAAATCGTGAATGTGATTTGGTCTGCAAACGTTTCAACTTCCTCGTACAGTACAACACTGTTACCATTCGCGGTAGTAACATTAGGATTAATGCTACTAAAATTAATTACATAATTACTTTTAATTACTCATCCTTTCCTGTTTTTTTCAAAGTAACGATATAAAAGTTGATTAGTTAAAGTAGTAATACGTTTGATAATATGAAATATCTATCGACTAGGCACATAATTGTCTATCTTATAATTATTGAAGTAAATTTTTCCATCATAGTCATTGTAAATTTCAAAGTTACAATCGTTACAACAAAACGAAAAATGTATTTTTGTTGATTTTAGAGCTATTGATTTTGTTTTTGCATCCAGTGTTATGGAAAGAATTTTTATCATCTTATTATCATCCTCATCTAAAAGGGAGTCATCATTATTACATTATCAGTTCTACGACGTTTCTACGAGTAGAATCATTATTTCAATTCTTGATCCAGTCTTCATCATTATTAGAGAGTCCGATCAGAATATCTTCCCAACATCATCTTTCATTCTGTGTCGTTGGCGGTTGATTGCTTGAAAATTAAAATTTGTCAATCGGTTTATAGTTTGATTGATTGGTTGGTTGTATGTCTGATTGATCACTTGTTTAATTGATTGATTAATTTGCCTGTTGATTGATCGTTTGTATGATTTTTTGATTAAACTTTCGCTTGATAGTTTTATTTTTTAATTGATTGGTTGATTGGTTGCTTGTTGGCTGATTGGCTGGTTGA